GGCTGGCTGATTTGACCCTGCCTGTCAGGGATAAACTGGGCAAAAACGGATATGACATCCAAGTGGAGAGATGAAGATACCCAATGCAAAAAACAACAAAAAACTACCCACATGGGAATGGAACTCACATCTTCTGTGGTCAGTGGTGAAGCATCTAACCACTACACCACAGACACCGGTGGGTCGAGCAACCCACCTTCTAAATGAGGCAAATAGAGTGGATGATGGAGGCATAAAACAATTACTATGAATCCGTACACCATACTTCTTTTGAGACACCTAAACTTTAAAGTTTGGAGGTAGAACTTCTGAAAAAAACTCTCAGTGTTTGAGTCTGAGGCCATAGAAGTGGCATCTATGATTATATAGGATAAATGATAATGTACTAGACGGCAATTATGTCTTAAGGAAAGGTATTTTGTCACCATCATGAAAAGATTGGACAAATGACATTGGTTAAATTTTTCAGGAGAAGGAAAAAATCTATTTATTAAAATGATGTCTTAGAATTATCTAATTTTCAAACTGATAATTTGGTTGTTTATTTCAAGATTATTAACCAGCAAATGAAAAATGCTATGCAATATATGTTTCGCGAAAAATCAAAACCAAAATGTTTGTAGTCTTCCAATCTTATCATGATGGCGGCGATATGAGTATGTACGATACATTATGAAGTACATTAGGTCTAATACATCATAAGAAAAGGTACGTAACAAAAGTAATTTGTTGTGTGTAATCCACAGATCTGTAGCCTACTTCTAGCTTGCTCACTCTCCAGACAGCTCTCCTTCACTCTCTATAAAACTTTTCTGCGAAGCATGCACACCATGGGACCATGCTTTTATGCCAAGTGAAGGGTTCCACTATTATACAATTGAGTGAACGTTCACCTTTCACAACTTTCCCTCTATTGGGTTCAAAATGTGTCAAATGGTACCCTCCATACTGAACTGAAAATACGTATACATTATTCAGCACAGTCTTGGATAAAATTACAATACAAACAAATCTGTGGTATAACTTCATAGCTTAAGGCTGTGTGTCCACCAAAGCAGATTCTGTCCAATTTTTGTCGAGTTGGGAAAATTTGGTATGGTTATTTCTGACATGTGTGAACCAGTCAAATGTTAAGGAGCACAAGGCTGGAATAACAGAGCATGAACAATTTTGAGAAATAGGAAAATTGTTAATAGGCATTTGTTGTTTACAAATAGATTATTAATTTTGAGGCACTGACTGGGAATATGACCTATCGTTTTTCGCTGGAACTTGAAATTATAATATATTTTTTTCGTGAGGCTGATGAGTCACCAGACAAACTGACTAAACCACTGCAAGCACCAGTCAAACCAAACTGACTTTTGTCTGGAGAGAGTTAGGTCATTTTGATGGACACATTCATACAAAATTATCACTGATTGCCAAGGTTAAAAACCGGTGCTCTGTTTCCCATAACTGATTTCCCGAGAGCAGATGACTTTTGATAAGGTTTCTGGTTTGGTGGACATGCAGTCAACTGGGCAAAATGAGACTTACTGTCTGTTGTGTCTCGATACAGGTTTGCCGGGGGCAAGTCTTGGGAATTCAAAAACTTGCTCATTCTTTTCACAGATGTTGCTGCCTGGAGAGGAAGTGAATAAAACTTTTCACTTATGAATGTTCGTGTTGCTTGGAATGAAGTCAGTTATATAGTAGACATAATATGATGAGTGGAGTTATGCTATGACAATAATTTATTTTATGAGGAAACAGAAAGTGGGTCATATAAATTGCCAAAGCACCAACCCTTGTCACAATGCCCCCCCCCCCTCAAATGGATTTTAAAAAATTAACAAAATAAAAAAATTCCCAATACAAGTTCAGCATTAAAAAAATCAATATAACCACCTCCTAAAAAAACCCAACAAATAAAGAAAAAAAACAACAACAACTTTTAAAATTGAAAAATGATTAAATGCACAAAAAAATGAACATTTGCAGATACTCAGGACTCTCAAGCCTTGGAAGTCAACAAACTTTGGTGATCCCCACCTCCTTCCATTGTAAATATTTCAATTCAATTCAGTTCAATTCGAGACAGAGAGAGTAACTGTTACTATCTGTATAACACGATTACCTTGACCCAGATTTTGACCATGATAGGCATAACATTAACTGCCAGTTGCAGCAGGTCGATAAAGTTCATGGTGAGAAAAGTTGTTTGAGCATCCAAATGATGACTGCTGTCAGTGTAGACATACGTAAATAAAATGAAAAACATCATCTGTGGAGAAGACAAAAGGTTATCATTAAGAACTGTTGCAAGCTTAGTAAAAGAGACCTGTTTTTGGCAATTTCAGAAAAGTAATTTGACATCGAAGTCATCATAAAGGAATGTGTCTGAGCCGCTGCCAGCAGCTCACAGGCACAACCGGCTTTCTGGAGATAAGGGGTTAACTAAATCTATTCCTTCGGTTTTGGCATGAATCACAACAAAAGCGTGCTATGAATGTTCATGAATTCCAGACACAAAAATGGGAGTTAGAACAAATATTAATGAAAATAAAAATTTTTTGAACACCGGCATTAACGGTAATAATTTTGGGCTCTAAGAGAAGAATATTTAACATCCTTGACAGTTGTAATAAAAATCTTCGAATTTGGAAGTTGGAGTCGGTCCAAGACAGTCCTCAGCTCGAGAACTTCTAAGCATCTTACTTTCGTTTATAGGGAGGGAACTGGCATCCATGGTGTAGGAAGTAAGAGTTAGGCTCTTCGATCGACATTTTGTTGGTGACCTAGTGGTTAGGCTCTCGGACTCGCAATTGTAAGACCGTGGATTCAAATCCTATCAGGGACAAAATTTGGTGTCCTTGGGAAAGGCACTTAACACACATTTTTTTTCTCACTAATTGTATAGTATTGGCGTGCTTCTCTTTACTTAAACAAAAGAAATTAAATATACTTTTAAAAAAAACAACAAAAAAGAACACCTTCACAAGAGCAAAAATACGTTTTTCATTGTCTAAAAACCATAATCTTTGTCCTGAAATATATCTCATACTTTCTTTTTTCTCTCTATATTAAGTCTATTTCCCACTTACCCAGGACAGAGATGCAGCAGACCACGCAAAGGAGTCGAAACCATCCAGCATTGCACTCTTCAAGAGAATTTTCAATTCCCTTTCTCTGATTTCTTGAATCCGTTTGATAAACATTGGCTCCCAGCCATATAGCTTGATGACCTGCTCGAATAAAGCAAGTATAAGAGTGAATTTCAAATGTCTCTTTCACTTAAGTTAAAAAGAAAAACAATACTTTTGCAAATTTATCAAGACTATGGCCGCCAACATTAGTCTCTGAGAAAAAGCATCCTCATTATAAAGATCTTGGAATGATGTTAGCTCCAATATCCAGTTCACAGTGCAGAAAATCTTGTCAAATCTCCATTTGAAATGTTTGATCCATGGCAGACAAGGTTTGCTTCACTGAGAGGCAAATGGTACCATTCTGGAACAATTTTATAAAACCCTCACAAGAAAAACATGTTTCAGTTTGTGAAGTAACCATTTGATGGGTTTGATGGAAGCAACCAGTTGGAATCAATAAATATTATATGTTGTGGAGTCAGATCTTTTGTTTGCACACATAATTATAATGCAATGAGCCCTAAAGGACCTGCAGGTAAATCAGTCGGTAAAAAAATGAAGCAGAGGTCATTTTATATATGTCTAGACTTCACTTGTATTAAAACAAAAATTATTATCAAATGTAATTTGATGAAACTCTCTGCAATGCGCAGAGTGTAGGCCTATAATAATTTATTTACACATACCTCGCAAATGAACAACAAAAATGTGTTTGAAGGATTAAACACGACGATTGGGTGATTACATTTTAAAGGTCCTTTTGGACACCACTGTATAAACAAAAAAGTTTGGTGGGACAGCTTTTTCTTCAAGTTATTAAGTAAATGTAAACCATCTCATGCCAAAAGTTTTGCTATTGTAACTTACATTACTTAGCGCTACTTAGTACAAACTCCATTTTTACTGTCAATTGCAAATGCAAATGTTTTGGCTTTAGGTGGCACACATGACTTATTTGGATTTTTTCAAACTTACTATGTTGACATTTACGAGTAGTATACCCTTTGACCATAAGCCGTCCAAAAGTTTCTAAAACCCTTACATTTTTATAACTCTGCATTTAAAACCAACTCACCTTGATCCCATTCAGAACCTCGGACATAACTTTAACTCTTTCGTCTTTGACCACCATAACTTCATTCTGATACTGGCGCATTTTCTGAGTGACCCAAAAGTTGACAACAATGTTGAGAGTAACATAGCCCAGGCCTGGAACAAGAATGGAACACGTTGTCATATATAAAGGAGAAAACAAACGAAATATAGTAACATGTACACACTGGACACCAAGGGATAAATATTGTTGTTGCTGAGGTTGACGCTGTTTTCGTTGTCATTGCTGATTTGATTGTTGCTATTGTCACTGTTGTTGTAGCCGTTGTTGTTGGTGAAATTGTTGTTTTTGTTACTGCAGACACGGTAGTTGCTATTGTCTCTGTTGTTATTATTGCTGCTGTTTTTGATGATGATGATGTTGTTTTCACAAGGGCTGCTGTTGCTCTTCTTATTTTACTTGTTGTCAATGTTTTCGGTACTGATGATGTAGTAATTATTTTGCTGCTGGGTTATTCTACGGTAACTGATAAAACATTTGTATTAAACTTTCTGATAACACTGTAATTTAATATCAATTACTTAATTTCAACTTCAAATGATTAGAACAGTTAAAAGACATATGTGGGGCACGACTGAATTTTCGTTTTTTGGCTCAACACCTTTCATGCTCATTGCAGATAACATTATTGTGTGGATTTTACTGAAAAACACGAACTCTCAAGCTAAGGAAATGTTTAATCTTTGGCGACCATTTTCTCACTAATTTTACCTCAAAAACCAGGTGACCTCCACCTCCTTCATTTGTAAGTATCTTGACTTCTATTCAAGGTACATGGATATTTTTTTCATCCAAAGCAAGACAACTGAACAAGCTTTAATATGATACCAATAACTCTAAATGCCCAAAAATTGACGAGAGCCTGATCCAACCGCGTTGTGACACATATTAAGAATCATATTAAATGCAGTCATGTGAAAAAAAAATCCTGTGATAAGTTTTGTTTTGGTAACTGACAGGACAGAAAAAAATGCTTCATTTGCCCCAGCAGTTACCAAAACTAAGCACATCACAGGGTTTGCATCAAGTCCTTTCTTTTCAAATGACTGCATTTAATATGTCTGTCAAATGTTCTGATCATTTAAAGTTGAAATAAATTAACTGATATTGAATTATGACAGTGTTGTCATTGTAAGAAAGTACACCCTAAATATCTCGTGAGTTACTCTGGAAGAGCCCTGCTTACAAGGTATAAAGACTCACCTGCCAATAAAGCGATGCCCGCCACTGTGTAGGTGAAATAGATGGCAAAGGCCAGGTAGATGAGAGCCCTCCATGACCAAAAGGACCAAGTGACGGCCTCTTGGATGTTGGCAGAGTCAACGGACATCAGGTTGACAATTTCCCCTACCGTGGATGTTTTCCGGGCCTCTGAACTCATCGTCAGAGACTGTGAGGCGGAATGTTTAATAGATTTTAAAAGAAAAAAAAGAGAGTCACTGCGCAGTGGAATCAGGCTCTTGTCAATTTTTGGACATGTGGAGCTATTGGTATCATTTTAATGCTTGTTCATTTGTCTTGCATTCGGCGAAAAAAACCACTCGTCTGTCGAGAATAGAGGTTGAAATATTTGCGAGTGAAGGAGGTGGGGTCAACTGATTTCAGAGGTAAAGTTAGTGAGAAAATGGCCACCAGAGTTTGGCAACTTCAAAAACTTGAGACTGCTTATTTACATTTTTGTGTCTTAAATCAACATTTTTCAGTAATATCCACACAGAAATGTGTCTTTAAATGAACTTTAGAGGTGTTGAGTCAAAAAACAAAAATTTGATAAAAATTGCTTCAATTTAATTATTTTGATGAGTGCCTGATTTTACCATGATGCCTCACAAATCACTTTTTTAGATTTTAAAGGGAGCAATTGGTTTACAATGGTAGGCATACATTAAAAAAACAAACAAAGAAAACATACATGTCAGCAAAAACACAACATAATACATATACATACATGTATGCATACATGCACACACACTCACACAAACACACAAACACACATGCACACAGATCAACATGCATACATGCATACATACACATACATACATACACACATACGTACATATGCACATACACACACACACACACACA